GTGGTGTCCTCTCCTGACCGACCGGGCTAGACTCAGAAAGGGACGGGATTGCCTGTGGCCCTGCGGCCGGGAAATGGGGACTGCGGCGGGGCGGGGAGGGTGGAGACCCAGACAGCGGCCTCCTGAGCCGAGGGTTCTTGACGCTTTCACCTGGCTTTGCGTCTCACACTCGAATGGGGTTATTTGCCGACTGGAAGGCGGCAGTGCTTTCGAGGTCCACATGGATTCTCTAGAAAAACACACAAGATTTTTGCTTGGTTAAGGCAGGTCAGCTTACCTATACACTTGCTTAACATTTTGTTGTATTTTAAAGTTACTTCTTTCTCTTTTTTTTGAGTCGCAGTCTCACTCGTTTTCCCGGGGTGGAGTGCTGGGGCACGCTCAGGGCCACTGCAACCTCGACCTGCTGGGCTCCGGCGATCCTTCCGCCTCCGCCTCCCAAGCAGCTGGAACGACAGGCTTGCACCACCATGCCTGGCTAATTTTTTGATTTATTATAGAGCCGAGGTGTCGCCAAGTTGCTCAGTTGCCTTGTGTGGCCTCCATTTGGTCAGTCTGAGCTGGTTGCAAACTGCTGGGCTCAGGCCATCCTCTCCCACAGTGCTGGGATGACAGGCGTGAGCCACCACGCTGGGTGAATCTCAAGGGATTCTCATTGTCCTCTGTCTTTGGACACAGGCTCATGAAAAGCTGTTTGCATCTTGTGTTTAAGCCCAGCTGCTTCTGTGGCCTTTGTGTAGGTTCCATTTGGTCAGTCTGAGCTGACTCAGGAAAACATTGCATAGCCAGGAGTCCCCCCGCTCTGAGACTGACAGCTCTCCAGCAAAGCTGGCTTCGTGGAGGGGTGAGCCGGGTGGTGGGATGGTGTAGCATGTCGCACCCACATGCTTGGATGTTGGACTCGGAGGTGTGCACATGTCATGCATGGCTAAGCACGCTCTTCCATGGGGAGGGCAAGTGGTGCGTGTCACCTCTGGTCACTGGGGTCCCTCTAACAGTGAAGCCGCGCTTCCCAAACTTGCTTCCATGTGAATGCCTGTGTTCTGCTGTCCTCAGAGAAGAATTCTGGGTTAAATATTTGTTTGCCATGGACAGAGACAGCTAGTTGCAGAAGTCTTAGATGCCCTCCTTGCTGAGTGAAGACTGTGAGAGTCATCAACAGTGTGGACATTCGTGCCCAATCATCTCAGACATCTACATGGTTCTTCCCATGTGCTGGGCACTCTTCAAAGTGCTCTCCTTGCTCTTTATTGTGCCCTCTGCAAGGTATGAATAGACACCTGTCCCGGCTTGTCTGAGGTCTTCGGTTTATAAATGTGCGCAGACCCAGTCACCCTGACATTCCTCTGCCGCGTGCCCGCTGCCCCAGTGGAAACGCGGTGGCCTGCTGAGCATGCAGGTGTGGGGCGGCGGGCCCCTCTGCCAGGAAGGGGTCACGGCCAGAAGTGCGGGGCTGAGGCTGCGTGCTGAGAATGAGCCGTGGTGGGGAGGCCGCCGTGGGTAGAGCGACCAGCATGTGCAGCCCAGAGTGACCAGACAAGGCAGGGAAGGGCCTTGGTTCATCTGTCACGAGGAGTGCTCCTCCTCGCCTTGGGCACTTCGGGAAGTGCCGGGGAAAAAATACCTTGACTCTGAATTGGCTGCTCAGTAAGTCATTATTCAGGGAAACAAGCTAAACCACTTGGTTCAAAGATTCTTTTACCCTAGCCCAGTGTGGTGGCTCACACCTGTAATCCCAGCACTTGGGGAGCCCCAGATGGGAGGATTGCTTGAGCCCAGGAATTTGATATCAACCTGGCCAATATAGCAAGATCCTGTTTCTTTTGTTTTATTCTCTTTTTTTTTTGAGTCTCACTCTGTCACCCGGGATGGAATGCAGTAGCATGTTCATGGCTACCGCAGCCTCAACCCGCTGGGCTCAGGCGCTCCTTCCACCTCAACCTTCTGAGTAGTAGCTGGAACCATAGGTGATTACCACCACGCCTGGCTAATTTTTTGATTTATTGTAGAGATGAGGTCTCGCCACATGGCCCAGGCAGGTCTTGAACCCCTGGACTCAGGCAATCCTCTTGGCTCCGCCTCCCAAAGTTCTGGGATGACAGGTGGAGCCACCGTACCTGGCTAAGATCTTGCTTCTATCAAAAAACACAAAATCCTGTCATACCGTTTAAGCGAATTCCCCCTTCCCCATCTGCGTGCACTGAGCAAGACTAGAAGATTTTTCAGTGGAGTCGGCACAAGGTAACCAGACTGAGCAAACCTTACGAAAGCTGTAGGGGTTAAAGTTTACACCGAAGTGCAGGTTGCTTGTGAAAGAGGAGAAAGTAACCCCCTAACGTTCCAGGTCATTCCATTGGAGCGGAGGCGATGAGCCGTCAGAACGACGGACTTGTGCAAACGGAATGTTCTAGAGTGGCTTCTAATGAATGGTTAATGGAGGGCAGTGGGCAGAGGGAAGGGAGTTGCGTCATGCAGCTGCAGGTGCTGACCTTGTCACCTCAGTCAAGTCGAGCGCTCTCTGGAACGGACTCCAGGGGCACCTAGAACGGGCAGCTGTTCCCAATCCGTGACCGGCCGTTGCCTTTCAGCTGGGCGATGCCCATCAGGGCCTGCCTCCAGGCCTCCGTCTGTGACACGGCTCTCCTTGGCCACCCTGGCTCCTTCAACACCCAGCCGCTCGGAGTCATCTCCGCTTGAATGAGGGTGATTTCGACAGACTTTCACTAAACAATCATGGAAATAAGCGAAGACCAGCCAAATGAGAAAATTTATTCTGAACCTGCCACCGGCCAGGAGGCCGGACTTGCATTTTGGGAGAGGAAGGAAAACTGTCTGTCAGGGGAAAGGGGAAGGCTTCATTGCATGTGTGTTCCGACGGGAGGCTGTGGCGAAGGGGGTCTGTCAGGGTTGGCTGGAGGTGGGCGTCCTGTGTGACTGGCTGTGTGTGCGCGTTTGGGTTCCATGGGCCCGAAGTTGGAAGTAGGACAAAAGTCAGGGAGGCTGTCAGTTATTAATCAAGTTCTGGACTGATGGTTACGAAAGTTGTTACTCAGTTTCCTGTATTGTCACTAGAGATGGTGGTCTGCCTTTCTGTAAGTCCAACTTGTAGCAGGCTGATTTCCTGCTTATGTACTTATTTTTAAAATTTTTGCGGAGACGAGGTCTTGCTATGCTGCCCACGCTGGTCTTGACCTTCTAGCCTAAAGCCATCCTCTCGCCTTGGCCTCTTAAAGTGCTGGGACTACAGGTGTGTGCCAACATGCCTGGCCCTTAGGTTGTTTCTTATAAATAAGGTAGTCTCCTGGATAAGTGTGGGTGAAAATTTTATTTTTAAATGTGGTCTGGCCATTGTCCATTTGTATATTCAGTCCCTCACAACCCAATTTGGTTCTTACATTTTTGTCACTAATTCCTCTTTTTTTTTTTGAATTGGAGTCTCACTCTGTCGCCCAGACTGGAGTGCAGTGGCTACTCGCGGCCACCGCAGCCTCGACCTGCTGGGCTCCGGCGATCCTTCCGCCTCAGCCTTCCAAGTAGCTGGAATTACAGGCATGCGCTACCACACCCAGCTGATTTTTTTGATTTATTGTAGAGATGAGGTCTCGCTGCCCAGGCAGGTCTCAAACCCGCAGGCTCAGGCAATCCACTCACCTCAGCCTCCCAAAGGCGTGGGATTACAGGTTGAGCCACCGAGCCCGGCTGTCATTAATTCTTATCAGGCAGACACATGACTGATACTTTGACTGTTACCCTGTTTGCCTAGGTTGCTAAGCATTTATTGTCTGTCTACTATTGCAAGGCACTATGAAGATATACATTTATTTTTTGAGTCGAAATCTCACTTTGTCGCCCAGACTGGAGTGCAGTGACATGCTCATGGTCACCCCAGTGTCGACCTGCTGAGGTCAGGCAATCCTTCTGCCTCAGCCTTCCAAGTAACTGGAGCTACAGGTATGTGCCACCACGCTCAGCTAATTTTTGATTTTTATTGTAGAGACAAGGTCTCACCAAGTTGCCCGGGCTGGTCTGAAACCTGCGGGCTCAGGTGGTCCTCTTGCCTTGGCCTTCCAGAGTGCTGGGATTATAGGCATGAACCACCACACCCAGCTCAAACTGTTTTTCTTCTTTTTTTTGAGTCAGAGTCTCACTCTGTCACCCAGGCTGGAGTGCAGTGGCATACTCACGGCCACCGCAGCCTCTGCCCGCTGGACTCAGGCGACTCTTCTTCCTCAGTCTTCCAAGTAGTTGGAACTACAGGTGTGCTCCACCACGTCTGGCTAATTTTTCTTTATAGTAGAGATGAAGTCTCGCCAAATTGTCCAGACTGGTTTTGAACCCCTGGACTCAGGCAATCCTCTCACCTCTGCCTCCTGAAGTCCTGGGATTACAGGTATGAGCCACTATAAAACTTAGCGAAATTAGGTTTTAATTAAGTTCAACACTGTGTACAAACCTGTATGAGAACTTTCCTGGATGAATCCATGATCTCTCATCTAGGAAGACTGTCTTTTTGGCTTTATAATCCGAGTCAGAATACAAAGTAGTCAGAGTGGTATCTGAAGCAAATACTGGATCTGTCTGCAACTGTCAGTTGGATTGTGAAAAAGATGACAACTTAGAAAAGATCATTTCAGTTGTGCTTAAAACAAAAGTTTGCGGCAACCAGCTTCAGATTTTTGTTTGTTTGTTTGTTTTTTGAGTTGGAGTCTCACTCAGTTGCCCAGACTGGACTGCAGTGGCCGCTCCCGGCCCCGGCAGCCTCGACCTGCTGGGCTCCGGCGATCCTTCTGCCTCAGCCTTCCGAGTAGCTGGAATTACAGGCGCGTGCTACCACGCCTGGCTGATTTTTTGATTTTTATTGTAGAGATGAGGTCTTGCCAAGTTGCCCAGGCAGGTCACGAAAGACTTTTTTTTTTTTTTAAATTTTCACCCGTTCTCAGTATTAGGAAAGTGAAAAATCTCCTGGTCATGCATAATATAAATTAAGTCAGAAGATTAAAAAGTTCCAGGTGCCATGGGAACTATGGTTAAAAATGTCATGAGTGTTCAGAAATGATGTGAAACAGGATGGAAAGACAGGGATTTCTGATTCAGGAGCTGAAATATATCTTCTGTTAGAAGCAAAAATGGGTTGGCTGGGCGCAGTGGCTCACGCATATAATCTCAGCACTTTGGGAGACTGAGGTGAGAGGATTGCCTGAGCCCACGGGTTTGAAACCAGCCTGGGCAACTTGGCGAGACCTTGTCTCTACAACAAATCACAAATTAGCTGTGTGTGGTAGCATATTCCCGTAGTTCCAGCTACTTGGATGGCGGAGGCGGAAGGATTCCCTGAGACTTTGGTGGCCATGATCGTGCTGCTGCACTCCTGACTGGGCGACAGAATGAGACTCAGACTCAAACAAACAAAAAGTATAGGGTGTAAATATTTATCTTCAAAGCAGTGAATCCTAGTGTACATTATAGTCAATTTTCCCCCTTATTTATTTTTTATTTCTGAGTCAGAGTTGCAGTCTGTCCCTCAGGCTGCAGTGTAGGGCATGATTACAGCTCAGCTTGGGGCAGCCTCAACTTCCTGGGCTCAAACAATCCTTCTGCTTCAGCCTCCTGAGTAGCCAGGACTATAGGCGCTTGCCACCATGACTGGCTAATTTTTTTTGGAGCATCAAGGTCTTGCTGTGTTGCCCAGGCTGGTCTGGAACTCCTGGGCTCAAGCATTCCTTCCACTTCAGCCTCACAAAGTGCTAGGATTACAGGCGTGAATCACTGACCCCTGCCTCTCTTGTTTAATCTCATTCTTTATGACACATCATTTTTTCTTTCTTTCTTTTTTTGAGTCAGAGTCTCACTTCGTGACCCAGGCTGGAATGCACTCACGGCCACCGCCACCTTGACCTGCTGGGCTCAGGTGATCCTGCCACCTTCAACTTTCCAAGTAGCTGGAACTACAGGCACATGCCACCAGACCCGGCTAATTTTATTTGTTTTTAATTGTAGAGATGAGGTCTTGCCAAGTTGCCCAGGTTGTCTCAAACCCGTGGGCTCAGGCAATCCTCTCATTTTGGCCTCCCAAAGTGCTGGGATTATAGACATGAGCCACCACGCCTGGCATGAAGTATCATTTTTTAGCATTAAAATATTTTGGGTAGTCTGTAATCCCAGAACCCATGGGCTCAGGCAATTTTCTTGCCTCTGCCTCCCATAGTGCTGGGATTACAGTTGTGAGCCACCGTGCCTGGCTAGATACAATTTTTTTTTTTTGAGTTGGAGTCTCATTCTATCGCCCAGACTGGAGTGCAGTGGCCGCTCCCGGCCACCACAGCCTCGACCTGCTGGGCTCTAGCGATCCTTCCGCCTCAGCCTTCCAAGTAGCTGGAACTACAGGCGCGCTACCACGCCCGGCTAATTTTTTGAATTATTGTGGAGATGAGGTCTCACCAAGTTGCCCAGGCAGGTCTCGAACCCGCGGGCTCCCAAGGTGTGGGATTACAGGCTGAGCCACCGAGCCCGGCTTAGATATAATTTTTTTTTTTTTTTTGAGTTGGAGTCTCACTCTGTCGCCCAAACTGGAGTGCAGTGGCACGCTCCCAGCCACCGCAGCCTCGACCTGCTGGGCTCTGGCAATCCTTCTGCTCAGCCTTCCAAGTAGCTGGAACTACAGGGGTGTGCTACCACGCCCAGCTAGTTTTTTGATTTATTGTTGAGATGATGTCTCACCTGCCCAGGCGGGTCTCACACCCACTCAGGCAATCCACTCACCTCAGCCTCCCAAGGTGCGGGATTACAGGCTGAGCCACCGAGCCCAGCTTAGATATAATTTTTTAATATCCTTTTTTTTTGAGTTGGAGTCTCACTCTGTCACTCAGGCTGGAGTGCAAATGGCAAGCTCATAGCCACCACAGCCTCGAGCTGCTGGGCTCAGGCCATCCTTCTGCTTCAACCTTTCAAGGAGGCTATAGGTGCACGCCACCATGCCTGGCTAATTTTTGATTTATTGTAGAGGCGAGGTCTTGTCAAATTGCCCAGGTTGGTCTTGAACCCCTGGGTTCAAGGCAATCCTCCCACCTCTGCCTCCCAAAGTGTTGGGATGATAGGTGTGAGTCACCTCCCCTGGCTTACAAAGACTCTTATACTGCAGCACCTATCTAAAAAAGTTTTGATGGGGCTGAGAGGGAGCTCTTGAGTGAGAGCAGCCCATGGGAGGAGTCTCATGTCTGGAAAGAAGAACTCTGTGAGTTCTGCTGTGTGGAGTCGTTGGCTGTGGCAGTCTGGGGGAGCATGGCTTTGGTACAAACCTGGCGGCTGAACAGAGAGGCAGCCGGTTGGGCTGTTTGTCAGTTTCTAGGGCGGGTGTCTTAGTAGAGACGGAGCCAGAAGCGAGTCCTGGAAGAAGCAGAGATCCTTGCTTTTGCTTCAACAGAATGGGGTTTGAGTTGCTGTGGAACGTACAGTTGGAAAAATTGAAGCCAGGGTTAGAAGGTAGAGGTAAGAGCTCAAGAGGGGTGAGAGATGGGGTTGAAGATTTGGTCTTCGGAGTGAAGTCGCCGGAGTGAGTGATCGTTCCTCAGGTTGGGATGTGGGAGTCAGGAGGGTGGTGGACCCCTGTGTCACGTGCTGGACTTTTCTTAGGCCCAGGAGGGAAGAAAGTCCACGTCATGACGCCAAGGCCCCTCTGAGGTGGGAGGAGTGAAGGGGCTTCCTGTCTGAGGTGCCTCTCTATGAGACGCAGGAAGGGCAAGACTGAGCATTAGGGAGAAGTGGAGTTTCTGAAGAGCTTGTGCCGATCTGGGGGGTGGAGACACCAGATCAACCTGCACGGAGCACTTGCTGACCTGGAAGGGCGTGAATGCGTGAGGCCTGTTAGGGTGTCCGCACCCTGCGTCATTCAGTGACGGGGGATGGGAACAGAAGACGCAGTGAATGGGTTCCACTGAGGGGCAGATGTCAAGGTCGCTGTTAGCTCAGGTCGGTGGGTTGGGAGTGAGGCGAGGCAGCCTGCCCACATCGTGCCGGGAAACTCAGGGGGAGGCGCGTGAGGCTGGGGGTGAGGCCTGCGCTGTCCGGGGCAGGGGTTGGACCATGGGGGTGTGTGCTGCTGCTCGGACTCCTGTTCTTTCCAGGCACGTGCCACCACACCCAGCTAATTTTTTGTTTTATTTGTTTTATTATAGAGATGAGGTCTGGCCAAGTTGCCCAGGCTGGTCTCAAACTCCTAGACTCAGGCAGTCCTCTCGCCTTGGCCTTCCAAAGCGCTGGGATGGCAGGCATGAACCACTGCACCTGACTCAGAACTTTCTTTTTATTTTGCGTTGGAGTCTCACTCTTGCTGCCCAGGCTGGAGTACAGTGGCATGCTCACAGCCACCGCAGCCTCGGCTTCCTGGGTGCCTGTGATCCTTCCTCCTCAGCCTTCCAAGTAGCTGGAACTACAGACACATGCCACTGTGCCTGGCTAGTTTTTCTGTGACTTATTGTAGAAACGAGGTCTCACCAAGTTGCCCAGGCTGGTCTTGAATCCCAGGCTCAGGCAATCCTCTTGCCTCGGCCTCCCAAAGTGCTGCTGGGATTACAGGCTGAGCCACCGTGCCCGGCCTAGAACTTTCTTAATAGCTGCAGGTTTCCACGTATAAATGTTTCTCAGAGGCCCATGCTTTAGGGATGCAGTTGAACCAAATGTGAGAACAATTTGTACAGTGATTTGTATCATGGATTCTGCGATGGGTGAGTTAGTCACCGTATCGATTTAGCAGTAGATCAATAGTGAGAGTTTAGGTGAATTTTCATTGCAATACATAGATTCACCTGCATTTTCTGAGCACCTACTTTGTGGTCAGCAGTGTGCTATGCTCCTACCCACAAAGAGATTACAAAAACTTGGTGAGATTCTGGGTTGGATTGCAAATTTCTCCTGATGCTTTTGATGTATAAAAAATCATCTCAGCTGGGCTCGGTGGCTCAGCCTCTAATCCCGTGCCTTTGGGAGGCTGAGGTGAGTGGATTGCCTGAGCCCGCGGGTTCGAGACCCACCTGGGCAACTTGGCGAGACCTCATCTCTACAATAAATCAAAAATTAGCCAGGCTTGGTGGCTCAGCCTGTAATCCCGCATCTTTGGGAGGCTGAGGTGAGTGGATTGCCTAAGCCCACAGGTTCGAGACCTGCCTGGGCAGGTGAGACATCATCTCTATAATAAAAAAAATCAAAAAATTAGCTGGGCGTGGTAGTGTGCACCTGTAATTCCGGCTACTCGGAAGGCTGAGGCGGAAGGATCGCCGGAGCCCAGCAGGTCGAGGCTGCAGTGACCGGGAGCAGCCACTGCACTCCAGTCTGGGCGACAGAGTGAGACTCCAACTCAAAAAAAAAAAAAATCATCTCTCCCAAGAGTGATAAATT